AAAAAAAAACAAAAAACAAAAAACACAAAACAACAACAACAAAAAGATGCTAATAACACATTTAATTCTCTGTTGTGTATTTGGTAATCTCAACTGTTACCTCAAAATATTTGCATCCTATTTCAGTGATATGGGCTTGATGTATAAGATATTATGATGTATAAGATATTAAACTCAATTTGTGGTAACTGCAACACTTGGAATGCACTGAATTTAATTTCACAAATAATACCTAAGCATCTACTAATTGGGGAGAAAGACCTGAATACAAATCACTGTGGTGAGGGCTAAAACAAAGCTTAATTCCAGTTGCGAATCTGGGAAGGTGTCACTAGGGAGACGGTTGACCAGAATGTGGACGATTTCACAGGCTGAGATCAGGAGGGTAGTCTAGGTAGAAGAAACAACATGATTCCAGTTTTGGCGCTGGCCAAGCAGGACTGTGTGGCTGGGGCTCCGTGGGTATGGGAGTAAGAAAGAGAAAAGACCAGAAGTTCAGAGGAGGCCTGATAATGGTGTTGACTCTTTCCTGATGCTCTTTCTTCATAAACTTTGTATTTTTCTTCTCCATTTTTTTTTTTAAATTTCTTTAGAATTCTTACCTTCACTGTTACCCCTTCCTGTGGGTCTGAACAACTGTACAGGGGGAAAAATAATTCCACAGAATGCTTGTTTCCATTTGACTCAAAATTTAAAAAACTCAGTTATATGCTTTATTATAAAGCAATCTGGTTTCTAGGTCTATAATAACACCCTGGGGCAGTGTGGGCAGCATTGGAATGTGCACAGAAATTCCCAAAGAAGGCTCTTCATCTCTCTTTCCATTTGCGCTTCTGAAATCTCTCTAGAGAACACAGCCAGATTCCGTTGCCACTGCAGCTGCTACAAGGCCCCAGTTATAGCACTTCAATGGTCTCAGGCGCCTTGCTGGATCCCAGCCTTGAGACCTCAGACAAAATTTGATAAAAGCTGTCCTTTTATGGAATCTTGAATCATGGAGCTGGGCCTATGCTGGCCTGTAAAATAACTATGAGAGTGGTGGTGGTGGTGAGAGAGGGCTCAGAAAGGCCTCCTATTTTCTACATATTGCTTTAGCATTTCTTTGTGGTAGTTCCCTGCAGTTTAATCTATTGCAAATGAGATCCTAAAACAATCAGCCCCCATATGCTCAACACGGATGTTCAGAAATCCCACCAGATACCAACCTTGAAACCATATTTTCCAGCACTAACATTTTTGTGGTCTGGCTGAAAACCTTGAGTACTCTGGTGTTCCCTCATGGGGAGAAGAGTGCTAGCCATGTAGCAAATGCTAATTATTCCATGATTAATGTGATGGAGTGAGTTTAATGTGATGACCCATACATTGTTTTGATTACGAAAAACATTTTTTTTGACTTGGTATTTGTTACATACATTTTTCTCCCTATTAGGAAGCCCATCTAAATTATACCCTGGAAGGGAGGTCTCACTAACATGGCTTTCCCCATAGAGACAGTGAGGGCTTATGTGGGCCCCATCCCAAAAGGGAGGATTAGCAGAACTGTCAATGTTAAATATCCTCCACAAAGCACATTTACTTGTTATAATGAAACAAATGTTAGAGGCCCACGTATTTGACTCTTGATGGGTATGCAGTGTTAGCACAATCCAATGTTACTGTAGGCCATCCTTCCACCCAGCACCTGGCCTCGCAGTAAAAATGGGCCTGAGCAGAAGGTGCACTCCACATTCCATCTGCTCAGGATTTTCAATTTCACCTCCTCCATACACATAGCTGGAAATATACAACTGGACTGTCTCGGGTCTGGTTCGAGAGGGCAGGGACCTAACCACCTCCAGTTCTTCAAGGAGATAACACTTCCTGTTTAAACACCATCACATTAATAATAACCAGCATTTACTGAGTACTCACTGTATGCCATTGCATGTCAGGGCTCTGTGCTAAGAACTTTACACATGTCAGTTCTAGACTCCTTACCACATTCCTCTAAGACAACTACTATTGTTTTCCCCATTTTACAGGTAGTACAATCAGGCAGGGAGAGGGCAAGTAACTTGCTCAAGGTCTCACAGCTAGCAGGTGGCAGAGCAGATCCGTCCTGACTTAGAGCCAGTATCTGTACCTATGATACCATGCTGTCTCATGTGCCGCTGGTTGGTAGGTGGTCTTGTGAGAGGGTAGCAGAAAGGAGAGGGTTAGGCCCCCTCACATTCCCTTCTCAGTTTCTCCAGGACTGATGGTGTGGCACATGTAAAATTCAAACAGTAAGTTCAGAAGCAACAGCTGAGTGGAGTGGACAGGAAGCTGAGTGATAGCGACTGGTTGCTGAAATATTCATATCATAATTAAATGTCAATATATCCCACCTCCAACTCTGTCTCTAAGAACTGTGATGGATAGAGGCTTATGGGAAAGAACCTGTTGGCTGGGTACAGTGCTGTCCTTTGGAAACTAAGAGGGCACTTAGCTGCTGTTTCCTTAACCTGAAGAAAGAGACCCTGGGTTTCCTACTGTGTGGCTTTCCTCACTTCCAATGGACAGCTGGTTGTGGATACAGGGTAAGTGTACCCTCAGACCAGTCTTCATGCCCTTGGGGCCACTCCAACACACCAGCTGGTGGGAATTTTGGAAAAATGCCCTGCTACTCTGGGCAGTGCTGCAATGGCCAAGGGGAAAAGTTTAGGCGGCAAGAGAAAGATGGTCATTAGGAAGCCAATCATACCTTCGCTGCCCACTCCTGGGATAAGGTGACAGTCCCAAACTCATCTAATTTTTTGAGGCCTCTTTCTCTTTATTCTCCTTTGCTCTGTGTCTCTGAGCATCAGCCCCCTCCTCCCTGGCTCTTTTGAAAACAAAACATGGTACATAAAAAGGCCCTTTCTTTCCACCCCAGAAGGTTCACTGAGGTATTCCCAGAGCACTCTTCCACAGTTGTAACCCAAAATGGACTGTCACCCAGATATTTCCCCAAGCCTGGGCAGGAGTGAGCAGAATATGAGCTCACCAGGAAAATTCTGGCCAAGTTGGGGAGTGCATCTCTTTTTAGGGAGTGTTGTGAATTAGATCCATTTCTGCACCCTGCTGTTGCAATGGAGCTGACTGTGAAAGGGAAGATTCTCAGAGGAGCTGTGTTTTAATGTAGCAATTTGATTCAATTTTCCACTCTATAAAATTACCCATCACTGCTCGTTGCTTTCTAACAGACACCTTCACTCTTAATTTAACAATCCTATCGAATTCTGCCAGGGAAATTGGAAAAATTTATCACCTGTGAAATTTTATTTTCCTTTGGTTGTATCTGTTTTTGTAAAACTTCATTAACGACGATGACTTGCTGAGGAAATTATCATTTTTTTTAACGTCAGACACAAGAAATGGCTCGACCTCAGCCAAGATATCATTTGCATAATAAAACACAACAAAAAGGCTGGAGAAGTCGGAACTGGCAGAGGCTAGAAGTGCTAGGAGAAGAAGCAGGCTCTCCTTGGTGGGTGGGTAAAGTCCCCAGCAGGGCGGGGACATGTGGCCAAAGTCCTGCCCCTTGACTCAGGAAGCAATGACGTAGCTTCTTCCCCAGGAAGAGATAAATGCAGTTGGACGCTCTTCTTAGTAAGCCTTGAAATGCAAGTTGCTTACTGTTGATGCTTTTAGCAACCAGCCCTATCTTCAGGGGCTTGAGTGTTAGATTCACCTTAGTTCCTAGGTTCATCTGGGATTGAGGCTTGAATTGCTATAAATTTAAGCTTAACTTGAATTTCTCAGCAGAGCACTGAACTCCTGGCAAATTTCCATAGGAACCATCTTTCTGAATGGACTTGAAGATTAGCGTTCCTGTGGTCTAACTACCTCACAATTAAAAGCTCAGGCTTTGGTTCTCCTCCGTCTGACCCCCACTGAGCTCTGCACTGTTCACCAGCTGCTGTTATCCCCACTAGAAGTGGCTATGCAGAAGCAGTGATGACTATATAGTTTTTAAGATGATAGTTTTCATGCCTTTGGAAAAAAGGAAATATAGAGAGTAGACATGTTGTAATGATGAGCAGATAAAACATGTTAGGCTTCTTTTTAAGAGTAGTGATAATCCTGTCCACAGCTGTGATGCTGATCATGTGGACATGAAGCATGGAAAAAAAGAAAAAGAGTTGTGATTTGATTCATGGTATATCTGAACTAGGTAATAGCGTGTTGTTCTCTATCAAGGTTTATTATCAAGGTTTGCTCTATGAAGGTATTACTAAAAATGTTTGTCAGCATTTACAACATGTTTCAGATTTTTGAAATCCTTCAAAATTTTGAAGCAATTTTCCATTATTTTCACAACTACACACCAAAAAGTTGAAACTTGAGAATTTTGATGACTCATCCCAAAACTCACAGTAAACCAATAAAAACCAATGTAAATGTTCTTGACTGTTTAACCTGGTGGACACATGTAATAAGTTACTTCACATGGCATGGATAGAAGACACTCCCTAATCAAATTCTTCTTGCTCCCAGAGCAAGGCAGAGCTTCATTACCATTTTCCCTACAATCTCATAAAGCTTCCTACATTATCTCCTTCAGAGGATGAAGGCTAGATTTGGCTTCCTTTGGAATTTTCAAAGTTATTTTTTTTTTATTGCAAGGTTATTATTCTTTAATCAGGTCACGAATTTCTGAAACTAGCGGAAGATAAACGGAGCACAAAATTTCTCACCTGGCAAGACTTCATAAATATCTTCTTCTTCTTTCTCCTCTGTAGGCTCCTTTAACCCCATACTACCAGGCAAGATAGTGGGTCTGCACTGGGAACCAGAATTTGGGGAGTCAAAACCATCAATATCATCATATGTCTCTTCTTCTTTTTGTTCTTCTTCTTCTTCATCCTCCTCCTCTTCACATGGAATGGTTAAGGAGCTCAGATCTGCCAGGGCAAAGATGAGAATGAATCAAGAAACAGAGAAAAATAAAATAATAAGGTGGGAGGAAAGAGGGAGAAGGAGGAAGTGGGATGAGAGTAAAACATGTCAAAAGAAAATGAAACACCAGGTTAAATGCTGTTATTTCTAATGTGAGCTTTGGTGGCAGGAAATCTACAGAAAAGGCCAGACTAGCACTGCATCAGGTTTAAACCATCAGCATAAATCCTTCCTTGCAATAAAACTTGACCAGGGTGAAGCACCCCTGAAAAGTATGGGTGTATAAATGAGAACACGAGGTGAAGGGAAGAAAATAGGCCAGAAGAGGAAAAGCCAGTGTGCTGCACACAACTCATCAAGTAGAAGACTGGAAGGGTGAGTGAAGGCTTGCAGTCCTGCAGGGTGCATAGGCCATGGGAACTCTGTAGAATATTGGAGCTGTCAGAAGCTCATCTCCCCAATGATTTCACTGCAGAATTTCAGACAAGTTTGTTTGCGGAGAAAAAAATGGACAACAGTGAAAGAGAAGAAGAAACGGGGTATGGAAAAATATAACAGTAATACAAGACCAAATGGAATAGCTGAACGATGCAATTACCATGTCCTTTTGCAACTGCAGCGTCTAGCTGCCCTTTAAGTGGGTCACTGTATAGAGGGTGTTGAGCCATTACAGCACTGCGGAGCACCAGGGCAGGGGAGGGAGATTGGTTTTTTATTTTAATGGGGAACTGGGAATGTTCATTCTCTGATGTATACTACAGAGTACTCTCTGAAATCCTGCTGAGGGCCCTCTGCAGGATGGGTGAGTGCAGTCACCGTACTCTAGGGAAGGAAAGGATGGAGAGACGTCCAACGTTCATTTCAAAATGCAATAAAACTGTTTGGCTTGATTAGGCTTTTAATAAAGATTTTGCAACAATTTTCATCTGAATTTTGGTGCCACCACATATGAGGAAAGGATCAAAAACACATTTGTGGCTTAAACCATATGTTATTATTTTGTTTGTTTTAAAATAAAATGGAATGAATAATTTCGTCAATGTGGGATTCTGAAAGTACCACAGGGTACAGCTCAATAAAGCTGCTTTGAGTTTTATTGAGGTTTACACACTTAGGGGTATATTACACGCATAAATCCAAGGCACCTAGACGAGAGTATACCCTGTAGTCTTGCCATCAATGTTCATGTTTGCCTAGTTCCAGTCTATTATACGTGACGCTGTTGGTAGGTGCAATAGTTTGTTTTTGTGATAGCAAAGGCATAACTGAGTAAAACAGACAATTCTTGTAATTAAAGCTCTGGTGCTTCCTTCTTTTTATCCACAATAAAATCTCATAGCAGAATAAAAAACAGATGAAAAGGCTTGGCGTTTTTAGGTTGACATGTTTCTTTCTAGGTCTTGGGCCATGTATAAAGTTGGTGCTTCTGCCTTTCTGCAGAGGTAGGGTCCTGCCATGATGGTTAGTGAGGATTATCTAATACCAAGTGACACACCCAAGGTTGGCTTCTTCTACGTGCCAGGCCACTCGCAGATAAGCCTTCCTGGGCCACTGTTTCTGCTTTGTCTATAGGCTGGCCGGCAGAGGGTACTCTAAGAGCAGTCATTTACCATCTTCAGGCAGGTCCCTTCCCATCCTAAAGCAAGGAACATCTTATTGTGGCTTGGGAAATAGCAATTTGTTTTTAATGTACAATGTCCCTGAAGACCATCGAGATTAGTTTAGATTTCTACTTCCTCCTAAGACTAAAATAAGAAGATTTTGAACCTCAATTGCAACTAGATGACTTTAAGTTGGATATTATAAATTTCCTTTCCAGAATATAAGGGGTTAGGAGACACTGAATTGGGCTGAGCTGATTTTTAGAATCTTCTTTTTTAGTGGTTTTGAATATTACAGACTTGCCTGTAGGTAGGTGGATGAGCTATGATACCAGAGTCTTCTCCAGGTTGATGTCATCTTTACCTTCTCATTTATACATAGTACTATTTGTTGTTATAATATGAAGAATGTGGTAGAAAAGGCAGACTTGAGAAAGGATAGAAAAAATACATACTGAAGCCTGTAGATTACATTTATGCAACAAAACTTCAACTGCAAATCAACTCAAGTATTATTTCTATAATAGTGACACTTACCTTTTAACAAGAAACTTATTTGATCCACCCAGTCTCTGGCTTCTGCTGGACTAGTAGCTGTAAACTAGAGAAAAATCAGTGAATTAATTTATCACTGTCACTAAAATTTCCATGAATCTTGACAGGGATGTCCAAGTGGGAGGAACCTCTGAGTTTCAGAGTCAAGTTTAAAGTTCAGGATTCTCTGTCTGCATAACATATAGAAAAAAGACCAAATAATTCACTCAAACTGATTTTTCATTCAGCAGTTTTGCATACCCAGAGATGACAGCTCTTTCAGTCCAGACGTTCATGTCCATGTGCATTCTTTCATTTAATTATCTATTCCTTCATCAGGCGTTTATTTGAGAAAAGTTTACAAGAAAAAAAGCAAACCAACCCACACAGATGAAATGGGAACACTACAAAGGAGGCACATTTGATATCAACTGGATATTGAGGAGATAGGGAACACCTATTGTTGCCTAGAGTAGGTTAGGTCAGGGTGGCTTGCTGTAATAATATCATTTTGGCTGGATTTTAAAGAAGGGTCTGTGGAAACCGGTGGATAGAGTTGGACATTTCAGGTAGGGAGACCCATGTGCAAAAGAACAGGAATAAAATGACTTATGGGGAATTCCGGCTGGCAGATCAACTTGAATGGAGAAAAATAACAGGTGAAGTTGGAGACCTGAGGGGCAGAGAAGACTTTGTAAAATGGCTCGAGTACCTGGAGTTCAGAGTTAAAATGTAGGCAACAGGAAGCCACTATCAGCTCTAGCAAAGGGAGTGGGGGATTCTTTCAATAGCTGTGAGTAGGAAGGATTGAAATAGAAAAATCTCGAGACGGAAGACCAACTGGTCCTCTGGGTGAACTTAACTATTGTGATGGCTGTGGGAATAAATAAGAAGGGGAAGAGCCAAAGGATGTCGTAGAAGAAGAATCCACAGACAATGGTAATGATTTGAATTTAACAGGCCAAAGAAAAGAAGTAAATAAACTACATTCTGATTTACAAAATAGGCCAGTCAAGCATTAGCCCTTAGTAATTTTTTATTTTAAATAAATCAACTTGTAATAATTGCTCCTGAAAAATATTTTAATTATCTGGCCACTGGAGTAAGGTAAAGATATACGCTATACAAAGAAACTGGATTCCTGCATAATACTTTTTAATAGACATTGTCATTCTTGATTTCTTAAAAACACATTTCTATAAAAACATTTCTAGAAATATTCGTTTAGACTTGTTACATAAACTTTTATCTAGATATGTTGCTATCAGGATGTAATAATAAAAATAACTAGGAATATATTCAGTGCATACATCTATATTACATATATTCATAAAGGACTGTATAGAAAAGTTTTAGTACAAATGTTAAACGATTTTTGGAAATTGCATAATGAAGACCTAGGTCCTTTAACAAAACAAGAGTTAAGATACTTTAGAAATAAAAAGAAGAATGCTGAGAAAAGTATGAAGACTAAAAGGATTACTTAAGTGGTTAATTTACTCTTAACATGGTTTTTCTCTTTTTCATAAGCTGAAGTTTTTCTAAATTGCTTTAATAAAATCGTGATAAGGTAAAAATTACCCAAAAGCAGGAAACAATATACACACACACGCAAACATACATTGGTAAAAATCATTATATTTCCACAGTCAGAAATTTTTAAATTTTGTTGGTCGTTCAGGATGAAGATGGCAAAAATAAAATAAAACAAATTAATTTTATAATGAGGTAAAGATTCAAACTGAGCATAGCGAGGAATAAGTCTTTCTTGCCTCGACCAGGTCCTCTAGTCCTTCAGTTATTATTGTTACTAACTATTGTTACCAATATCTTAGAAATCCTTCAGAGATATGCAAGGCATCTACACACAGGAAGACTATTTTGGATAGCAAGATGAACATGGTAAAATAATTTTTTTTTTTACTCTACAGTTAGATCTTCTGTTTTCTGGGTTTCGTGGGAGGAAGTGAAGAAAATCAGTTGAAAAATAAAGAGAATGGGATTTTAAATCATAAAATCAGAGACTATAAGTAAGGAATTGGCTTGTGTGCTGCAATTGACAAGCAGCTCACCTACGAAGTGAAATCGAGAAGGGGAGGAATGAAGGATGGAAGCCAAGCAAAGTCTGTATCTAGGATGAGAGTGGCAACAGAGGGAGGGTATGGCATGACAAATGTGAGGTAATGTCAAGAAAGAGGGTCTTAGTTGGTACGAAATGAGCAGGTAACAAAGAAAGGCTGGAACCCAGCATAGTAACCATGGCTCACATGCAATACAGAAGGAAACTGTAACACCAATGAGGATCACCATTTCCTTGGTGCGTCCTACCTCATAGCTGCGCCTATCCTGGGAGGTCAGTTCAAAGCAGGATTCTTTCTTGGAATCTCTTCGCAGGTGGGGGGCCATCCGTACACTGTAGCCCTTAATGAGGAAGGTCCCTTTGGGCTGCTTGCCTGAAAGATAGAAAAGCTCCCTGTATCCCTAGAGAGATGCAACTGGCAAGGGAAGGCATCTTCTCTGGTATGTAAAATAAAAGCACAGAAACAGCTGTTACATCCCTGAGGAACCACAATAGTCAAGGAAAGGTAGAGAAGCTTAGGAAGAGGCTACTGTGACAGTGAGGCAGATATCACTGCCAAGCTAGGGAAATGCAACGTGAAAGGTTATTTTGCCAAAAGAGTACAACAGAGACAGAGAATTTATTAGAATGTTAAGAGATCTATAATAACAGAAAGAAGGAATTATTACAGCAGGGAGAGTGTGGCTGTAAATGTGAGGCTCTCGAAGGCTATTATAGAGCTGAAACATTATTATCAGGGCCAGCAGAGCTCACATTTGAGGGGAGGGACAGCAGCACAGGGGAGCATTATAAGGTCCCAAAATCGCCTCCCATGCCATATGTAGCATTTGGGCTAAACTGCTCTCCCCCTCCCCTGCTGGTCAGGTGGGAATTTATGTTAGAGGGAGAATAATTACAACTCAGTATTTTATCCTTCTTCTAAGAGGTCAACCTGGGAAGTAGCAGAGTAATGCTGAGTATTATTAGATGACGAGGAAGGAGATAAAAGGAAAAGGACCCTAAGTGAAGGGGAGACTATTCTGCTTGTCACTACTTTAAAAAAATGTTAGAAACACAAAAAGAGGAGGGCTTGCAAGAATTTTGTGTCCTTATTGCGTGGTTCAGGCAGAACACAGAGAACAGGAACCACAGTGTCTGGGATGCTTTGAGCCCTATATCGTGTGAAATGAATTGCTTAATAAATGCTTTTTGATGATGATAATGATAAGGATGGCAGTGGGATGACAACATTAAAAAAGAAAGAAAAAGAAAAAAGACTCTGTCCTCACCCAATTGAGCTAAAAGAAATACATAAACACTCTTCTTACTAAAGAAAATGTCATGGGCACAATAAGAAATAACTGGCGAGAAGGGAGCCATGGAACAGTGCTTTTTGACACCAGAATCTTTTTTGTTGAAGTATCTCTCCTTGTTCTAACTGGCCACTAAAATGTTTTGTTGTTTCTTTGGTCACTAGATTTTATTTCACCCTGATGGCAAAATGGTCAATAAAAGCCTCCGAGTCTCTTGCTCTTGCTCTCCCCACTCCTCTCTCATCGTGAGTATGGAAGATTCTGAATGAACAGACGTGACACACCTTGTTTTATATCTAGGTATGCCAAGCACTTATTTAAATGCAAAAGAAATGATGAACATTTTTATAGTAACAAATGTATATTAGTTTGGAGTTTTAAAATAAGAAAAGAACAGCTGGCTGTGTTGTATGCCTATAATTTAGAGGAGAAATTGTGGTTGCTGGGTTTGAGAATGGGCTGGGGGTTGGAAGGAGACAGGGGACTTGTAGCTCAGTTTACAAACTATGCTGTTATCCTTTCCAAGCAGGGCTTTAGACTTTGCCCCTAGATGGGAAAGGTTCTGAGGAATCTAGGATGGTGAACAGTAGGTGAAGTTCTGTGATAACCACTGCAGGAAGGGAGGCAGGATGAAGCAATTGCTACCAAGTCCAAGGGCAAATCTTTTTTTTTTTTTTTTTTGATACAGAGTCTTGCTCTGTCAACAGGCACTAGGCTGGAGTGCAGTGGCGCGATTTGGCTTACTGCAATCTCCGCCAAGGGCAAATCTTAAGAATTTCAAGTCACTTAGCAAAACTGCAGTTCTTTCCACTACCTTAGTGCCACAGGTGCGGGAAGTACAAAGGCAACTGGATGGGTGTCTGATTATTCTCTACATTGGATATCCAGGTACTGGGAGAGGACTAAATTTGAGGAAGGAGTAAGGAAGGAGAAACAGAGAATGATTGCAAGGAAGAAGACGGGTCTACTCAAACTGTATTGCTGGCCTCTGTATGAAGGTGCACAGCACAAGGAAATTTTCCCTAACAAGAACTGATGTTTTTTAAACTTTGTTTCTCTCTTGCTTCTTAGAATTACTCCTGGGGCAGTCCAACTCTGTATAAGAGTATCCCCTATTTAAAAGTTTGCATTCATCTATAATAATTTTTAGCTTGTATTTATTTGTAATTGTCTCCCATTGTGCTTATGTCCTCTATTTCTATTCATAAATCAATCAATTGCATTAAACATGCATAGAAGGTCTTCCAGGGTTGACTTGATTGAGTCAGTGGTGGATCATTAAAAAACTGTCTCTGGCCTGAATCAACACTTCATTGTTGCTGTCATCTGGCTGAAGCGCATGTCTTGGGTACAGCAACCATTTGGGTCTCCATATTCCATGGCTATAGGAATGTCCACTGCACTACGTACTTCCTAGTAGTCATTAGGATAAAGTTTGGAGTATGCCCTTGGGGGTTCTATTTATGGGCCATTGTTTAAGCTCTTTAAGTCTTTCTCAGAATTAATTTTTTTTTCAATATTTTAGCGATGGCATTGATGCCTATAAAGAGTTTCAAGTTCTTTTTTTTTTTAAATAAAAACATTCAACATTTATAATGTTCTGTTGTTAATCATAATAAAAGATAACCTTTTGATATGCTGACCACACTCTTAGTGTTTAAAGGTGAAATAATTTCTAAATTGGCTTCTCTGTTTTTGGTGATGGGCAAGGTATTATGTGCCCATGCCTATTTCTTTCCTAAGCATGTCCCTTTATGGATATTAGTTAAGGACTGCTATCTTGAGATCTAAGTACTTGAGAATTTACGAAGTGTTTGCATCCAGGAGTGAGATGCTGCTGTGCAAATGGAGAACACTTACTCTTCTCATTAGCATAGTAGTAGAAGAGACCTCTGCTGACAACACACCATCGCTTCTGCCACTCCGATCCAAAGAAACTATGATCTAAACAGAACAGCAGTAGGGGACATAAATTCAGATAACTACCATCATTGAAAAGTCTGTAAAATCCAACAACATACAGTCCAGTGTGTTACTGTTTTATTTCCCAGGTTAATGGACTGTAAAACCCTCCTTTTTACTCCCACAGGTTATCCCATACTGACTTAGGGTCCAGGGGACTAGCTCAGTTAAAGGTCCAAGTTCTAAACAGAGTTGCCTGCTCTGTGTTCCCACAGCTGTCTTTTTATCTAGCCTCCTTTATAGCTTTCGGGTTCTAATCTCATCCTGCACATTTTCAAATTCTCCATTATATCTTAATGTGTTGCCTTTGACAAAGCAAAATGATTCTCCAGGCCATGGCCATGAAAGAGTCTTTTTTTTTTTCTTTTGGTGTTGAGCCAATTTGCCTGTTGAGTGTTAAACCTAAGATGCCAACTCTAGTGGTACCTATTCTAATTGAATGAATTAGAGGTCAAGAGTTGGGTTTGAAGGCAGGAGTAGTGGCTCATGTATGTAATCCCAGGACTTTGGGAGGCTGAGATGGGAGGTATGCTTAAAACCAGGAGTTTGAGATCAGCCTAAGCAACAAAGTGAGACCATGTCTCTACAAAAAAATAATAAAATAGCCATGCACAGTTATGTGAACCGTTGTCCCAGCGATTTGAGAGGCTAAAGTGGGAGCATCACTTGAGCCCAGGAGTTGGAGGCTGCAGTGAGCTAGGATGGCGCTACTGTACTTCAGCCGTGGCAATAGAGGGAGATCCTGTCTTTTTTTTTTTTTTTTTTCTTTTTAAAGGTGGTGGCTCATGCCTGTAATCCCAGCATTTTGGGAGGCTCAGGTGGGCAGATCACTTGAGGCCAGGAGTTTAAGACTAGCCTGGCCAACATGGTAAAATCCTGTCTCTGCTAAAAATGCAAAAAATTAGTTGGGTGTGGTGGCACACACCTGTAGTCCTAGCTACTCAGGAGGTTGAGACAGCAGAATCACTTTAACCAGGAGCTGGAGGTTGCAGTGAGCCACGATTACACCCAGAGCAAGACTGTCTCAAAAAAAAAAAAAAAAAAAAAAGGAGTTGGGCTTGTCTGAAATTTGAAAGTAGGCTGCTTCACATATGATATAAAAACTATACAGTGGGAGCACACTGAGAGATGAGGACAAGAACACCATTCATTGGTTTAACAAGTTTTGTTAAGCACCTGTCACATAAAAGGCACTGGAGTTAGAGAGGTGAGCAGGGCATAACTATTCCTATCTTGAAGAAGCTTACAGTCTACCCAAGGCTGGGACATCTCTCTTTAGCCTACACACAAACACCAGACTCTTCTTTCCTTGCTTTGCTTTTGCCTTGTATCTGCCTAGCACAGTACTAGACACAGAGAAGGCACCCAACGTGTTAGGCTTCTTTTTCCTCACTTCCCTTTCCTTCCTGGAATGTCCTGCAATCTGTGGGTCTGACCAATACCTTTGCTTTTCTTCTCCAAGTATCCTTGCTTGATTATGTTATCAAGCTCTTGAGCTCCTCTGATGATGTCTTCCATTCCTAAAAAGACCAATGGCAAAATGCTTTGTTGAAACCTGGCAAAATTTTCATTTAGGCTACTTTAGATAATTCACATTAATAACAGAGTACAAAAGGGCAACTGCTTAAACACAGCACAAGATAAGACAATTTCTATATGATTGGAGAGAAAAGCAAATTTTCTTTCTTTCTTTTTTCTGAGACAGAATCTTGCTCTGTCACCCAGGCTGGAGTGCAGTGTGGTGTGATCTCAGCTCACTGCAACTTCCATCTCCCAGGTTCAAGTGATTCTCCTGCCTCAGCCTTCCAGGTAGCTGGGACTACAGGCGCCGCCACCACACCCAGCTAATATTTTTTGTATTTTTGGTAGAGATGAGGTTTCACTGTACTAGCCAGGATGGTCTCAAACTTCTGACCTTAAGTGATCTGTCCACCTTGGCCTCCCAAAGTGCTGGATTACAGACGTGAGCCACTGCCTGGCCAATTTTCTTTCTTTTCAATTATATCTAATGCTAAAATTGCTTAAAAATATCTAAATATACATTAATTTGTAGTAAGGTGAGAAAGCCTAAATATGTACTGACTGGCAGGAAAAGGACCCCAGAAAATTAAGAATTTTCTTATGTATATAAGTTCCAAATTGGATAAACCTCATTGAGATAATCAAAAGTCAAATGAATAGCTACCAGCACAGACAAACATTTTTAATAAGTAACAGACTTCACATCAAACATAGTTATCTAAGAGGGAGCAATAAACACACGTTCAATTTTTTTTCTTTTAACAGACAGCCACCTCTGTGAACATAAATTTTAAGTTTGCACAAGAAGTGCTACGCAAGCTGAACTTAGCAATAACTGCCAAATCCTGATTTCTTAAAAGTAATGGGAAAGAGACTGTGTGCAGTGGCTCTTGCCTGTAATCCAAGCACTTTGGGAGGCAGAGGCGAGTGGATCACAAGGTCAGGAGTTTGAGAGAAACCTGGCCAACACGGTGAAACCCGTCTCTACTAAAGGTACAAAAAATTAGCCGGCTGTGGTGGTGTGTGCCTGTAGTCTCAGCTACCTGGGAGGCTGAGGCAGGAGAATCACTTGATCTTGGGGGTAGAGATTGCAGTGAGCCGAGATTGTGCCATTGCGCTCCAGCCTGGGTGACAGGGCGAGACTCTATCTCAAAAAAAAAAAAAAAAAAAAGTATGGGAAAGAATCTAAGAACTGTAGAAGGCTTCACAAAAAATACCCTGAAACTGACATCAGCCTTTCATCGCATGCTGCTAACGTTCTTGGCTTTCAATTAGCCTTGTTAGGTACAAATTTATTGAGAAGTCAAGATCCATCTTCCTCCACTGGGGTTTATACTTACTTCACGTAAGGGAGAGACGAAGGATAGAGACAAAGAAGGAATTTACTTCTCAAAAAATAAAATGAAAGAAGAATGAAAAAAAAAAAACCAACCTCTTTTAAGAACACGCTCTACATTTCTTAATTAGGCAAAATGAAGGTAATTGGGCTAGCAGTATTTTAACATTTATTCTTTTTAGTCCCAGAACCCAAATCTCTTTTGGATTGCCTTAAATAATTTATGAAGCAAACCAAATACAAAACAAAGTTAGGAATACAGTAACTACATATGAATCAACTGGGCACCTATACAATATCTTGAGAGTTATGGTTGAAATAACTTTTTTTTCAAACAATTGTTTTTTGAACATTTCCTTCAGTAACATTTATTCAAAGGTGACTGTGAGCTGGCACTACTTTGCTCAGTATTTTTCCTACTTTTTGTTTAAAAATAACATCTCACGACAATTTAAAATGCAGTCAAAATTACATTTTGTTTTAAAGCTCCTTCAAGCTTAGTTTTAAAAAGATAGATCAGAAGAACCTCTTTTTTGTTTTTAAGTGTGTCTATGTGCCTGATTCTTTATCCAGTTGGTCCTATTGTGAACTTCCTTGTTCATGGACTATTTTCATTTGTGTGTTTCACAGTTAGCAAACTATGTGGTTGCCATAAATCCTTTTAATCCATTTTAGGGTGCATGCACGAGATGAATAGCAGCAAAGGAAAGTTCATTTTTCTAGGATTCTTTCATTTCTCCTATCCCTCTGGAAACACTCCAAGAAAACAGTAGCAGGTTCTACTTAGGGAGAGGCATTGAGTTGGGTGAGGACCAGTTATGGAAGAGAAGGCTCTCTGAAGTGCTGTCAAAAAATTGCTCCTGGGGAGGCCAGGTGTGGTGGCACACACCTGTAATCCCAGCTACTCAGAAGGCTGAGGTAGGGGGATCCCTTGAGCCCAGGAGTTCAAGGCTGCCATGAGCTGTGATTGAACTACGGCAGTCCAGCCTGGGTGACAGAGCTAGACTTTCTTTAAAAAAAAAAAAAAATTGCTCCTGGAGGCCTAAAAATTAAATTAAAGACATAGGGGGATGAGGAAACAGGATCCCATAAGCTTGGAGTTTCCATCTCTTCTTCCTATAGGTTTTTTTCCTTTTGTTTTTAAAGGTCTTGTTAAACTTAGAGACACAGCTCCTTGTTAAAGATGCCAAGAGTCTGAATCATAAAAGACATGTTAAACGTTCTATTAGAATTCAAACCTCCTTTTTTTAATGCAAATTTAAATGGCATTTTATGGAACATCTATAATTATGAAAATGGGAAGACATTGCCTCGTGTGCAGGGAGAGTCTGTGAGTATGAATATTACATTAATGTGCCCACACCAGCTCACTGATCCTGCTGGCAGGAGCATAAAAAATGCTTGAGTGAAACTTTTATTTAGATGTTAAGACTCCAGGCCCCAGCGGGGTGACAGAGACAGCCCCTGTGAGTTGCCATCAGAGAGAGAGCTTGAATTGAATTACCCAAGGGGGAGGAAGTAGTGATGAGCACTGCTTCGCTTATTTAATTTCATTTACTTTCAGTACATTATCAGCATGAGACTTTTCTCTCCCGACTAACCGAAACCCAAGAATGCCACCACCAAGAAAACAAAGACATAATGCAGCAGAGATGTAACTCCAAGTTACTAATTCTAGGAGACTAGAGACAGCACCACCACCACCTTCTCTATCCAAGAGTCAGACTCAGTTTGCTAAAATTGGGGTACAGAAGGAATTGCTGAATTTTCTCTCTTGGTCATTCACTAAAAAGATTCTGAAAAGTAATATAGCTAGAAACAGTTTTTTACATGCTGTGTTTTTGTGTGTAGTCAGTAAGATGTGCCTGCCTGCCTGCCTTCTTTCTCTCCTTCTCTTTCTTTTCTTTTCTTTCCTTCCTTCCTTCCTTCCTTCCTTCCTTCTTTCTTTCTTTCTCTCTCTGTTTCTTTTCTTTCTTTCTTTCTTTTCTTTCTTTCTCTCCTTCCTTCCTTCCTTCTCTCTCTCTCTCTCTCTCTCTTTCTTTCTAACAGAGTCTCACTCTTGTCACCCAGGCTAGAGTACAATGGTGCAATCTTGGCTCACTGCAACCTCTGCCTCTTGGGTTCCAGTGATTCTCCTGCCCCAGCCTCCCAAGTAACTGGGATTACATGCGCCCACCACCACACTTGGATAATTTTTGTATTTTCAGTAGAGATGGGGTCTCACCATGTTGATCAGGCTGGTCTCGAACTCCTGACCTCAGGTCATCCACCTGCCTTGGCCTCCTAAAGTACTGGGATTACAGGCGTGAGCCATAGCACCCGGCCTATGTTGCTTTCTTATTCATTAGAATCTGTATTGAGGAACTCTCTTGCCTGGTTTCTCTTATGGGCAGTGGGAAAAAATGGGATTATAGGCAAAGTTTAGAATGTATATGGAAAAAAAAATTAGGAAATTATTGTCTTATATGTACAAGGTACTGTATGGTGAGTCCAATAATAGAGCTGTTCTCAATGTAGTTGACTCTGAGCTCAATCTCATTAGCTCCATGATCTGACAAATCCAAGCAAACAAGATGGGAATCCACAGTGTCATGCAAGCTACGTCCTCTTTTGGTGTCAGCACAGAGTGCTACTGATCAAGAACTGATGATCCTGAGGATGCACAATGTTAGCCATACCATGGGGCAATGAGGCAGGAATCTTGTATGCCTGACTCCACCCCTACTAGTAAATAAACAGATCTGCAGAGAGCTACTTAATGTATAGTAGAAAGTATGTAAAAGTATGTTTTAGAGGATGGGTATAAAAACAGGAAGAAGTTGCAAACAATTGTATAGGTTGCTATTTTAAGGCAAAAAATTTATATTTAAGTATACAGTTAAAAAAAGAAGCTTTTTGTTCATTACCTGAGAAAAGATACCACCACCATCATGAAAAAATAAAAATGATTTCGATTTATTGAGAATAAATGGCCCTCTTGGGTAAGTCTAAAGGTGTATTACATTATATCAGCACAAAACAGAATTACATTAGTGTCATAATCTCTCTCTACCACTACACTTAACTAAATCTCTTAGAACAGCCCATATAAAGAAAAGATTCACTTAGCTGAAGGATATGGGGCCATAAAGATAAGATCAACAGAGAAGTGTGTTACCCAGAAGTGATGGCCACCCAACTTTCATGGCAGATGAAGATAAAAGAAATTCTCAGATATCTTTCTCTCTTCATCTAGATTCCTTTAAACCCTTGTATCCCACCCACATCCAACTCTGCAATAAAAAATGACAGGATAGGATTCCATCTCTCAATGCTAAACATGACTCTTCACTCAGCTATGCACAGCAACAACAATGGGGACCCTTTGGAGTGTGATACATTTCCATAAAGCAGTCAGTAAAAAAGACACGGGAGCTTATGTGAGTCACGGCCTATTTAACCAGCTGTGTTCTAGCCCACTGAGAAAAGAGAATTGGAGAAATCAGTTGGCAACACCAGAGCACAAGGCTAATAGCACAGGAGGCCACACAATTTCCACTGCAAAAAGGCTGCAGACCCTGCAGAACAAACCAGGTGCCCACTAACTTTCATTATAGGCAGCTGGCTTGATCTCTTGCTAAATCATCCAGAAAGGAAAATAAATAATTTTTAAAAAAACATCTTTTGTTCAAATCTTTTCCCTGTTAAGTCATGGACTTCTCCCATCCTCCCTCTTCCTTTTAATTCAAGTTCTTTTCAACTGTTTAAAAAGGGACCAAACCAACTTGATCCTAGAGACTAATAGCTACCAGGGGTGAATTTCAGACAGGGTGAAGTTTAGCAGCTTCCTTCATTAAAGTACACATGCAAAAAAACCTGCGGATTGGGTGTATGAGATTGGAGAAAATTTAATATTTGAGGGCTGGGAATGGTCAAATTCTACCTGCAATTCCAGTGCACTCACAGATGGCTGATGTGTGTGCATCTGCAGACATGTACACAAACACACGCTTTAAAATGCCTCAAATGTACCAAGGTGAGGAGGGTATAATAGGTAGGTTGTGAGGGATTAATTTTCTCTTGTCTGGTGATTGTGGATTTCAAATCTATTCATGAAACTCTCTTTTGTGCATCTGATTTCTGTGGCCTTCTTTAATAAGTTCATTACTTCAAGCCTGTAATCCCAGCACTGTGGGAGGCCGAGGCGGGTGGATCACGAGGTCAAGAGATCGAGACCATCCTGGTCAACATGGTGAAACCCCGTCTCTACTAAAAATACAAAAAATTAGCTGGGCATGGTGGCGCATGCCTGTAATCCCAGCAACTCGGGAGGCTGGGGCAGGAGAATTGCCTGAACCCGGGAGGCGGAGGTTGCGGTGAGCCGAGATCGCGCCATTGCACTCCAGCCTGGGTAACAAGAGCGAAACTCCGTCTCAAAAAAATAAAAATAAAAATAAAAAAAAAAAAGGTTCATTACTGCTTTTCCTTAGCTTTTTGCTTTTCTGGTTTACTTTTTTTTTTTTGCCTTTTTCTCAATTTTCAGGAACCAGTCAATAAATGATAGTTTGTAGTATCTGGCAGGAAGTGTTCATTTTCTGGTGCTAACAGGGAAGTTGGTTTCTATGACTATTCCTTAATTAGTCCCTTGAACAGGTATATATAGTTCTTTAACTTCTGTGGTTCCATTTGATATCCACCTGAGTTTACACTTATACCGAACACTTTTCTTTCATTCTGTTTCACTTATTAAGGAATTTAGCCCAACATTTAAAGGGTGAAAAATTCTAAACCATTACTAATAGATTTAGCATCTAAAAGTTTCAAAGATATAGAAAGCACTCAAACAGATGGCTTTAAACTAACTGAATGGAACGGTTCATGGAGAAATAAATTGGACAACAGATGAAAGGAAGGGAGTGAACACAACGTACTTAATCAAGTTCTTCAACAAGCTGTGATGTAAAAAGCTAGGAAACAAAATGAGAGGAACTGGAGCTAGACTAAAGGACCCCAGAAAATGGTAGAAATGACGTGTTTGTAGTTAGCAAACCAACACAGAAGACAACTTTCATGAGACCTCAATAGACTCATGTTGCCCTTCCAATTTTTGAAGGTCTTTTAAAAAGACCAGTGAATTCAGCTTATAGTGAACTTAGGTTACAGAAATCTGTGGAGAAAATCCTGTTATACTGAAGATAAAAAAACTTCTGAGGTCCTAGGTCAGTTGTACTAAGAAAAAAAGCAGATAATAAACAAAATAATTAAAATGAATATGCTTTAACAAAAATGGCCCCAAAAAACCCTAACCAGTTTTTAATTCATCAGGATTTTATCAAGCATTTTTACATCTAAGTCCCACAACATCCCTATGAGGCATGTTTTATTATCATCCTCACTATACAGACTAGGAAACTGAGGTGTAGTGAAATGACATGACTTGCTGAAGGTTGCTCAGTTGGAAAAGCCCAGTGCTCTTTCCAATACTCTGAGCTTCAGACATGCATAGAAGTGGTTGAGGAAAGATTGGGTCTTCCCACTTCACTCCCCCACAAAAAGAGACCCTGTGTTTTGGAAGAAGAAACAGGCATGATGTGTGATTATTCTAACTCTTGGTGTCAAAAAACTATTTTAATATCTATATTTCTTATTTACCTTTTTATGAGCAAACTGAGCAGGTTTTATTTTAGGATCCAGGGTACATGTGTAGGTTTGTTACAAACGTATATTGTGTGATGCTGAGGTTTGGAGTATGAATGTATCTGTCACCCAGGTAGTGAGCACAGTACCCAATAATAGTTTTTCAACCCTTGCTCCCCCCTCCCTCCTCCTGTATTTACCCAGTGTCTATTGTTGCCATATTTATGTCCATATGTACCCCATGTATAGCTCCCACTTATAAGAGAGAACATTACATATTTCGTTTTGTTTCTGCTTTAGTTCAAAAACATGGAATGCTTCACAAATTTGCATGTCATTCTTGCACAGGGGCTATGCTAATCTCTGTGTTATTCCAATTTTAGTATATTCACTGCCAAAGTGAGCACTCTTATTTACTTTTTATTTTTTTGAGACAGACTCTCTGTCACCCAGGCTGTAGTGCAGTGGTGTGATCTCGGCTCACTGCAATCTCCACTTCCTGAGTGCAAGCGATTCTCCTGCCTCAGCCTCCAAGTAGCTAGGACTACAGGCACAAGCCACCACACCCAGCTATTTTTTTTTTTTTTTTTTTTGTATTTTTAGTAGAGACAAGGTTTCACCTTGTTAGCCAGGATGGTCTTGATCTCCTGACCTTGTGATCCGCCTGCCTCGGCCTCCCAAAGTGCTGGGATTACAGGCATGAGCCACCGTGCCCGACCTTTTTACTTTTTAACGTACTAACTGATTAATCTTTATAATTGTCTCTTAATGTAGATCCATGTGAAATCCAAGAGGTCAACAGAGATATAGAGCAAAATACAAGAAAGTCTCAGAATGCAATAAAAGGACACATGAGTTAAGAAACTATAAGAGGACCAGGTGCAGTGGCTCATGCCTGTAATCCCAGCACTTTGGGAGGCCGAAGCGGGCAGATCATGAGGTCAAGAGATCAAGACCATCCTGGCCAACATGGCGAAACCCCATCTCTACTAAAAAATACAAATTAGCTGGGTGTGGTGGCGTGTGCCTGTAGTCCCACCTACTCAGGAGGCTGAGGCAGGAGAATTGCTTGAACCCAGGAGGCGGAGGTTGCAGTGAGCCGAGATCGAGCCACTGCACTCCAGCCTGGCTCCGGGCAACAGAGCAGGACTCTGTCTCAAAAAAAAAAGAAAAAAAAAAAGAAAAAAGAAAAGAAACTATAAGAGGACACAGCCAGAAGCTCGTAATCCTAGCAGTTTGGGAGGCTGAGGTGGGTGGATCATGAGGTCAGGAGTTTGAGACCAGCCTGGCCAGCATGGTGAAACCCCGTTTCTATGAAAAATACAGAAACATTAGCCAGGCATGGTGGCGTGTGCCTGTAATCCAGCTACTCAGGAGGCTGAAGCAAGAGAATTGCTTGAACCTGGGAGGCAGAGGTTGCAGTGAGCTAAGATTGTACCACTGCACTCCAGCCTGGGTGACAGAGCAAGACTCTGTCTCCAAAAAAAAAAAAAAAAAATGCTGTTTGGATGCTTGGTCACCAAGGTTTGTAAGACCTCTTCTAAGGCAAGGGTGATATCTAGAAAAAGAACCCCCGTTCCAGTGTAGGGCTCATGCGGGAATCTTGGACATGATTTATTTACTCTTGAAGGAAAAGGTTTGGTTTGAAAAGGAAGAAGATTTTTCCCAGCACTTTGGGAGGCTGAGGCAGGAGTCACTTGAGGCCAGGAGTTTGAGACCAGCCTGGCCAACATGGCAAAACCCTATCTCTACTAAAAATAAAGAAATTAGTCAGGCATGGGGGTACATGCCTGTAGTCCCAGGTACTTGGAAGCCTGAGGCAGGAGGACTGCTTGAGCCTGGAAGGTGGAGGTTGCAGTGAGCTGAGACTGTACCAGCCTAGGCAACAGAGCAAGACTCTGGCTCAAAAAAAAAAAAAAAAAAGATTTTTAAAGCCAAATATCCAAATTGGTTTCTTTTTATAAAGTATTCCCTCAATAATGCCAAGCCACAAGGTAATTTATAGAAACCATGAGTATTCGTGGAGGATGAAGAACCCTCTCATTCCTACAAAGGGGCAGCACACGCTAATTGTCTAAGAGACCTGGGGTCTTGGGAGATACTCTCTTCCACAACTTAACTTTCAGTGATATTTTACTTATAAGAAATGAAAGTGTTAGGAAAAAGCCCTTCTAACTCCAGGCATGGTAACTTCAATGCACTAGTGATAACATCTAAATAAATGTTAATAATCAATACTTTCTGGTAGGTGTCAGGAGTTCATCTTAAAGAATGACTAACTATAATAATCCACTGCTTCTCAATCATGAAACATTAGTGTACTTTGATCAGTTAAAGGACAGAGATTATGAATAATTTACTTTTAGAATAAGAATGGGTTTTAAGTTTTTCTACAATAATACCATTCACGGAATTCTGATATGCTTTCTTACAGGGAAAACTCAATTAAAAATAATTTATAGCATATCCTATGTATGCTACAGACTATAGTGATGAAACGAATCTGATGTACTATCATAATTATGGCATCAAGAATCTCCACAGTGCTTTATTTACTTGAAAAAAATTGTGTTCCTTAAAAACCATGAGTGTTCTGTGGTAGTGGGTTAAGCATATGTGTCTTTTGATTTTATCAATAACACATATCTGTAACCCAGCATCCTCAGCTTCATTTTTATCCTAAGAATCCATCCTTCATATAGAACCACAAAAGACCGGAAGTCTCTTTAGCACCTAAGCCACTATAAGTAGCAACAGACCAAAGTGGGAATCTGGATGCAAATTAAAGCAGCAATCCTTCAAATGGCCTCATGATTCTAAAAAGGACAAGAGGATTTAAAAATGCCAAATTGTCTTTTTACAAACCTTGCAAGATCAATGTATTCCCTCTGAGTCAGATCAGCATTAAACATGCATCACTTGAGAGCCTATCTTTAAAAATGAATGACGAAATGTCATTTTCAGATCTATTTATTTACTATGCCACTGGGCTGTGATAAGAACACAGAGAAAAGGAAATAAAAGGAAAAGAGCCTTGCCTGGGTTTGGAATCATATTTTAACTGGTTCACCAAACTGTGGCGAGAAGTCGTCTTTCTAAAACACAGATCATGTCACATTCCTGCTTAAATCCTATAATGGGTCTTTATTACCTACAGGATGAAACTGAAACTCTCCAGCATGTAAAAACTTTAAGCCCTTGGTCTCTTCCTACCTTCCAGTTTCATTTTCTCCCACCTTTGTCGCCTCCCAGTACTCTAGCAACAATAAGAAACGGACTTTGTCCTATGGAACATACCATGTACTTTACACTGCCAGGTCTCTGTGTATTCTGTTTTTCCGGTTTGGAACTTCCTCTCTACTCCCAGCTGTTGAATTGGGAGTGCTCCTTCAATTCAAATGTCACATTCTCTTTGAATCTTTGATTTCCCCATGTAAAATTATATACTCCTCTTCTGTGCTTTTATAGCATTTTCTAGCGCATTTTTATAGCACAGTCTTGGCTCCCAGGGACCCTAAATCTTTTCCCCAATGCATTCCATTCTTGCCACTTTGCTTCGGTTTCCATAAGACCTTAGTAACAATGTAAAGCTGTGAGAATCCTTGAACGAGCAAATAGAAAAAGGGCTATTCCTGGGAAAAGAACTGTAGTTGTGGACCTGGGTACAAGGCAGTAGGGAGGAGGGTAAAAATAATTTTGCATTCATAGGAAAAGAGATGACACCATGGAAGAAATTAAGTGAACAGAACATTATAGTATCTGGATTAAAATGGGGAAACAAGTTGCATATTAGATTCTTCTTTGGTGTACATACCTGTGCACCTAAGGGGATGGGCCAAGGTTTGCATGACAATTGTGTAGGTAAGAAGATTAAGAATTAGACTGAGGAGGAACTGGAGCATATGAATAGCTGAGCCCCATCACAAGATTGGGCCATTCTTTTTTTTTTTTCTTTTGAGTTGGAGTTTTGCTCTTGCCGCCCA